TTGGAGTTTTGATAAGATAAGGGTCAGCTTGCTCTTCTTAACTTTTTTTTTCCTTTAGCTGGAGAAGAACTGACCTTGTACATTTTCCTCTTTAATTAGTACCTGGACACAAGCAGATTTCTAGCTTTTTCGTTGCAGCTCTGAAATAAATCCTATGAAATACAACTCTATTCTATTTTCATAATCAAATTCATGACAGTACATAAAGATTTTCTCTGTAGAAATTAGGAGTAGGTTTTGGAATTGTGTACTCTCTCCATCAGTGACCTCAGTCATGAAATAAGAATGCCTGTATTACTAAGACTAAGTAATCCCATAGTTCACTAACTTGAAACCTTTTTTAAATCAGGAACCAGATGACATAGCTATGATATATGTATCTGTGACAAATGATCTTTTAATCCCTATTAGGACATTAGGGAACACCTTCATATTGTTCAAATTGGCTTGGTATTGTGTTGCAGTAAATGGCAGTGACTTTTTGAGTTCTCCTTTCTTACTCCTTCAGACCCACACCTACAGAGACCTATATTTCACTGACTCAGAGCAAGATTTCTCTTGAAGGTTCCAAGCCTGGCTCGGGCCATCCCCTCCTGTTTATGTGCAGAAAAAGAAGTTGCCATGGTGCTTTCTGGACATTGTAGGTTGTTGGGAGGAACCATCTATAGATCCTGAAGGGCAGTGAGAAAGAAAACACCATAGGCAGCTTCCTTGTTGTACATTAATTATAAGAGGTAGGCTTGAGACAGGACTGAAGCTCCAATAGAGGCTCCAGGTGAGTGAAATATAGGTGTCTAAAGATGTTTGCATATGTGGCTTTGTGTGTTAGAACCTCCAGAACTTTGTCTGGGAAATTTTTAGAGTATTCTGGGAGTTGGAGTCCAAAAAATCCAAATGGCACATCCCTACTAGCTGGTATGTGTGTCCAAATTACAAGACAGTCCAACATACAGGTATTTGTATTCAGAAGTTCTACTGAGTTAAGCGGTACTTACTCCTAGATATGCAGTTATAAAGATGCAGCATTATCACTAATTAGGTATATTAGCATCATTTGCAGGGGGTCATGGTAATTATTCGGGATTACAGCAGATGTGGAAAAGAAATGTAACCATTCCTCTTTCTTTCTGTAATCCTGAGGAAGGTTCCTTCGGGATGATTAGAGAAATTCATGGAGGTTAGAGAGAGGCAGTGTGGTGCAACTGGAGTGTTGGACTGAAACTCAAGAGAGCTGGATTTAAATCCCCCCATGGCTGTGGAAACTCACTGAGTGGTGGTGGTGGTGGTGATAAGCCATTCCTTGATCATTTCCTGTAGCTGGAGGGCGCTAGTAACATGGCCATTAGTTGGAAGCAACCTGACAGCATGTAACAAAAACAAGAACCATTGAATAGCTGTATATCACTTCCAGTATCTTTGATAGTATATCTATGTTTATATCAGTTACTGGGAACAGAATATGGAGGGTACAATTGTAATTATGTTGAGTTTTTGGGCTTCCATGACAGTTTAGCTACTATATGAATGCCGGACTAAATAGACTCCTGGTCTCATCCATTGTTTGCCCCAGAAGAACATTTCCCATTCATACCATTTGGGAATTTCATTCTAAAGCAAGCACTATCAAAAACAGGGACCAAAAGGGTTACATTTCCTCTCCATGCGTGCTATGACGCTAGCAATTTTCAGTAACACTGTGCCTACCTGCCCAATGTATTGTTGTTTCTGTTTTTATAAACATGCACAATAAAAGCAGAAATTCGCATCACATCAATACTGGGTTCTTATTTTCACCAAAACCCCTTTTTTGTTGCAGTCAGTGCTTAACACACAGTTCTTCATACCAAACAATGAATATTTTATTCTGTATGTTGTTCGAAATGGAACAAACTGTCTTTGTTGTTCATTGCAGTTGCAGCTTTTAATATTCACAATAGTAACTTTATCAAAGGAAATATCTTTCTGCAATTATGCAATTTCTCATTGTTCATTTCTATGAGGAAAATAATTATTTTGATTTTCTGCATGTTTTATGGTTGTTTTCTGTAGCCAGTTGCAAGAGGAGCAAGAGAAGAGAGAAAAAGAGGTACAGGAACTGATGGAAAAACTAGCATCTCTGCAAGCAGAAAAAAAAGGCCTTCTGTTAGAGAAAAATGATCTAGCAGCTGCTAATAAGGTTTCCGAAGATGAACTGGTGGTAGCTCAGAAGATGAAAAGGTTTGGGAATCTTGTTCTTTTGCTTAATGCTTCTGCACAAGAATTTTGGATAACCTGGTTGTAGAAAACAAAATTGCCTGTTTGCATTTGGAAGACTGATAATTTTGCATAGATGAGCATGAAGTTTGCTAAAATTAAACAGAAATAATCTGAGTTTTGTTTTTAATTGGAACATATTTTTGCGTTCACAATTGAGGGGGGAAAAAGGAAAATGTCATTCTGTGTAGAACCATAGAGCAATATAGTTGGAAGGAGCTTATGTGACAGGTAGTTTTCTGATTGTCTCTTGTATGCTTCCAGCATTCACCACCTCCTGAAGTAATAAATTCCATCGCCATACTACTCTAACAGTTAAGAGGTTTTTCCTGATATTTAACCAAAATCTGACTTCCTGTAACTTGAGTCCATTATTACATGTCTTGCCCTCTGGAAGAACTGAGAACAGATCCTGCCACTCCTCTGTATGGCAGTCTTTCAAATATTTGAAGAATGTTGTCATATCTCCCTTCAGCCTTCTTTTCTCAAGACCAGCTCTTTCAGTCTCTCCTCATAGGGCTTGGTTTCCAGTCCCCTGATCATTCTTGTTGCTCTCCTCTGAACATGCTCCGTTTTGTCTAAAACCAGTGGTTCCCAAACTTGGGTCCCCAGATGTTCTGGGACTGTAAATCCTAGAAGCCTTTACCACTAACTGTGCTAGTAAGGGCTTCTGGGAGTCTTAAGAACATCTGGGGAGTCCAAGGTTGGGAACCACTGTTCTACATCTTTCTTAAAGAGCATTGTCCAGAACTGGACACAGTGTTCAAGATGAGGCCTAACCAATGCTGAATAGAAGGGAACTAGTTCTTCACATGAATTGGAGACTACACTTCCATTAATGCAGCTTAAAATAGCATTTGCCTTTTTCATACCCACATCACTGTTCGCTCACATTCAGATTGTGACCTACAATGATCTCTTGCTAGCAGGCCATGATCTAGAAAGCTTAGCCCATGATCCCAATAACCAAATCCCTCACATTAACAATAGCCCATGATCCCAAAAACCAAATCCCTCACATCAACAGCACCTTTGTAGTCAGTCATTCACCTGGAGTAGTTTCCTTTTCCTTTCTGTTCCTCTTCTAAATACTGGTAGACAGGTCTTGCTCCAGCTGAGCAAAATATAGGCGTGGCTCTGTGGGCCGGAACTCCCAGAATTTTGCCTGGGCAATTACTGGAGAATTCTGGGAACTGAAGTCCACAAAATCCAGATGGCACATCCCTACCAACATCTAACTGTAATGCAGATTGTATGTGATTTATAAACTAATAGGCAAAATATTGCAAAGAAGAATCAGAGCCACATAAGTGATTGTTTAAACCCTTATTCCAGTGAATTCATTACGTGTTTTGAATTAAATGAGAATTGGATTACAATATTAATGATCATAAATGTCTTCCTAAACTATCTTTCTGCCTTTCAAAAAAATCTTGTAGGCAATTACAGAAGAAAATAGGTCTTCTAAAGCAGCAGCTGGAAGATGCAATGGAAAAAGAGATGGTAGCATATAAGTACCTAGCAAAACTCATCACCTTGGCAGAAACTGTAACTCAAGAACGTGATCAGCTTTTAAACTTGGTAATTCTTTTCTTTTTTAAAGTCACTGACTATTGATGCTCCCCATGTGCCTCAATATTTGGGTTATAGTACTAAGCCTCAAATTGAACACCAGCTTGATTTGTGCAACCATTACCAAAGAAAGAGGGGGCAGGTATAAAACATGCAGCAATGTGAGTTGTAAAGTGAGACATGTTCCGTAATTTTGATCTGGTATAAACAGCCATAGTTTTTTCAAAAGAAGACAGTTTTGTGGGAGAAAGCTGATGTAACTGAAAGCTAAGCTGTCACTTCTGATAAGGAACAATTTGGTTTCTTTAATTTCCTTCTTGAGACAGGTATCTATGGGTACATGGTGCCTACAGCTAAACACTTTCAAACAGCCCTTTGATAATCAGATGCTGGCTACAAGGTCACGATCTTAACCAAAGAATGAACAAGTATTTGTGGTTTTTTTATAATTTAAAGAAAATAAGAGAGAGAAGGCAAGGAAAAGGATAAGAATGTTCCATCAACTTGTATAGAAAAAACAGTGCAACATTGTCCTTTATCCTCAGTTTTGCTCATTGCAGGACTAGTAAACGTCAAGTCAGAAAGCTCTTTTTCCTTCACCTTTTGCCCTGTGTTGATTTTGTTGTCCTTGTTATGTATGGTTATAGTACAGGAGAGCTTTGCTGAAGTTGAAGCTATATTTGGACTGTCTTCATCATGATAAACAAATAATTTTAAATGCAAAAATAGGCAATATTTTTATAGATCACTAAAAAAATAATACAGTAATACAATACACGAGCTTTTGTGTATTAAAACACCAATTCATCAGGTTTGTACCAGTGTGAAGAACTTAAAATCCAAAAGTTCATGGCAAGATGGACTTTGCCAAGAACTTTTGGACTTTACATCTAAGAGTAACTTTCTTGGCAAAATCCATCTTTCCCATGAACCTTTGTACTTTTAAGTTCACACTGGTAAAAACCTGATGTAGTGTTTTAATCCACGAAAAGCTGTGTATTTTATGGTGATTTTTAGTAGTCCTTAAAGGCATTGCTTATTTTTGCATTTGTATTTTATTTTGTTTCGACCACACAGTTATTCTTTATTCCAAATAATGTTTAGAGCATTTTCATATAGTCACTGGGAAAATGCAAAGTATATAGATTACTGTGTATAGTTGAAGTGGTTGATTCTGGCAAATAACATTTCAGGTATGTTGTGTTTCTTTTTCAAAAGTACGGAAAATATTCATGTTATAATGCATTTTTCTGTCATGTTGGCCTTATATGATTTCTGCAATTTCTAATAGTTTAATATATTCAGAACTTACTGATTTTGTTAAGGCCCGCATTCCTCTACAGTTGCTTTTTCAGGCTTAATGCTTCAGTGAAGTGATAGTGCATACCCTTTCCATACAGAAGGCTGTAGGTTCTGTATCTGGATATTCAGGAGTGGTAACAAAGGCTGGAAATGGCAATGGCTCTATTGGGTGGCGGATTCACAGACTTCTGCTACAAAAAAGTACTGTTTTGAATATATTGAAAAAATATTGTTTTTCGATGGAATAGACCTGTATCTGAGCCTTGAGAGAGCTGTTGCTTATTGGAACAGATAATATTGGGCTACATGGATAAATAATCTAACTTGATGTAAGGCAGCTTTCTTTGTTCCTAAAGGAAACTTGCAGGCATCTAAGAACCTTGAATTCAGCAATTGGGGGAAAGTTCCATAACAAAATCCATTGTAACTCATATATCCATCTCTTTTTTCCAGGTCAGTTGCTTGGAAAAAGAGAAGGATGGTGTTCTCAGCAAAATAATTGAAGGAAATGTACGTTTAGGAAGATTGGAAGAGAAAGTGAAGGTGAGTAAAATATTTTGAATTGTATCTATGTGGTACAGTATGGTGTATGTATTTTATTTGTAGAAATTAGAATCAGAAGCAGATAAAAATAGTGTAGCATTCATCTAATAACATCTTTGCTAAGGTGTATGCACTGGATTTGTGCAGTAATAGGAAGCACTTGGAAAATGTGTTGGAACTACAGAATTATAAAATAGTATGAGAACAGCACTTTCCCCATTTCTGTTCATATTCCTGCCTTTGTTCCATGGTACATCATGAGATGTTCCACATCGGGCAGAAAGAAAAATGTGAAAAAAGCAACCAGGAAACAGCCATGAGGGACTGAGAAACAGATTGCCTAAACTAGCAAAAGATTTATTATGTGGTAAATTCTTTGCAAGCAGTAGAAACATTTAATCTCCCCCTCAGACCAGTCTGAATGGACTGGCATCTGAAAAGGACACCTCCATTTGGAAATGTCAGTTAGTTTGTATAGACAGATTCTCTGACTGGACTGAACCCATATACAGTATTTTCTGTGTTTCACTGTCTGAAAAATGGAACTAAGATGACAGATTTTTCACATAATCCTTGTAAAGAATAACAGATTTAGTCCAGATAGCCTAATCAGTTTACTAATCTGTCGTTATAGTGCTATTTCTCTCAGGGAAATTGAAGTCTGTTTGGCCCAAAGCCACTGACTACGCACGTGACCGGTCATATGAGTTATTATATGACACCATTATTTTCATATTATGACACCATCATTTTCATATTATGACGATAGATAGGATTTGGTAATGTTATTGTAAACTTGTCAACCTGTTTTTCTGCAGCAATTTCTGTAATTATATACATCATATCCTTTTTGTATCACATAACTTCAAGCTTGGGGCAGTTTTGCCCTGCAATTTCATCAACTTGTTTTGCATTTTGTAAATGCAATAAATAAATTCTCTTTCTTCTGCCAAGCTTTAATATAAACATTTTGTTTAAAACAAAACTCTGGAGTTATATTGGCAGTGGGCCTAATTCTTATTTTTCTCTTTTTCTTTTTAATTCTAGAAGAAAAATAGTAACTGAGTATAACTTTAATCAAAATAAAATATTTGTGTCTCCACTTATATATCTAATTTGGGGGGGATGAATGAATAGGCCAATCCACTTGCACTGTGTGCTCTTACTACAGATTGCTACTTATGATGGGCCAATCCTAATTATCTATGCAAATCTTCAGAAGCCTCATCCCTCCAGAGGTGTTGGACTGCTACATCCTGTTGTGCTTAGCTAGTTCATTAGGAAAACTGTTAGTGTCACTATTAATGAAGTGGACAAGAACAGAAGAAGACGGTAGCTTGGGATTCTGGAGTTGTCCTCCAGTAAGCATGGAGGGTACTAGCTTGGAAAAGTCTGACTTAAGATCAAGTAGCCACTACAGGGTGCAGAGGAATCTTGGTCTTCCTGCTCCTTAGATGCTATGGAAGATGCCTCCAAAAGAACTGTATCTCCAAGGAAAATCTATGACTTCCAGGTGGCACCATGGCAGCTTCCTTGTTTCTGAAAGTAGAGATAGGCTGGAGGAGGCAGTGACAGGAAATAACTAGAAAACTAATCTGCATTCTTATATTTCTGGCTGCAACTCTTCTGCCTGGAGAATTCCAGAGAATTCTGGAGGTTTCAGTCCAAAATTATGAAAGAGCACACACTTATTTTTTCCTACAGTGGAAAGCTGATGTTGTTATTGTTATGTGTTGTCAAATTGCCTATGACTTATGATGACTCTGTGACTGAACAATTTTAAAAATTGTCCTGTTCTCAACTGCCCTGCTCAACTCTTCTAAACTCAAGCCTATAGCTTCTTTTAGGGGATCAGCCCATCTCTTTTTCTGCTGACTGACCTTCCCCAGACAGTCCTGTCTGCTCATGATGCGCCCAAAGTAAGGCAGTCTGTTTCAACATTTTTGCCTCCAGAGATAATCTTTCTGACAGTCCAGGGTATCCACAAATTTCCTCCAGCACCACATTTCAAACCAATATATTTTTTTCATGTCAGCTTTCTTTATTCTCCAGCTTTCACACCCTTACATAGTAATTGGGTACGGATGAACTTGGTCTTGGTCTCCAGTGACACATCCTTACATTTGATTATCTTTTCTAATTCCTTCATTGCTGCCCTTTCTAGACTCAGTCTTCTTATTTCTTGGCTGAAGTCTCCATTTGGAGTGATGATTTATCAATTCTGGATTTTTAATAGAAATATGTGGCAGGAAAAATATATATAATTGGAGTGGGATGCAAAAAATATTGCTCTAAAATATAAAAGTATTTTTAAAATGTGCCTCAAAGAGATGCCTAAAAGTGAAAGTATTATTGAAGAACTACAGCTGGGAACAAAACCAAAACAACTGGTTCAAAGAGAACTAATAAGGTAAGACAGTAGTAGTCCATTCATTGAATTGTGTGCCATATTTTCGCAATGAAAAAGTAAACAAAATGGTACTTACATTATGTGGACAATAACAAAGAAAAAAATGGAGTGCCATTTATTTTGCTGCTTGAGTTACATTTGCCTGTACAGTGGTGCCCCGCTAGACGACTATCCCGCAAAACGACAAATCTGCATGACGATGAGTTTTTGCAATCGCCATAGCACTTTGCAAAACAGTGTTTCCTATAGGCGATTTTCGCTATACAATGTTTCAGTCCGTGCTTCGCAAGACAGTTTTTTTTCCAGGACCGATGTTTCGCAAGATGACTATTTTAACAGCTGATCGGCATCTTCGCAAAACGGGTGTTTTCGGACCGATGCTTCGCAAGACAGCGATTTAAACAGCTGATCGGCAGGACCGATGCTTCGCAAGACAGCGATTTAAACAGCTGATCGGCACTTCGCAAAATGGCTTCCGTATGGGCGATTTTCGCAAAACGACAACTATTTTCGCTATTGGAACGCATTAAATGGATTTCAGTGCATTCCAATGGGGAATCGCATTTCACAAGACAATGTTTTCGCTAAACAGTGATTTCAATGGAACGGATTATCATCGCCTTGCGGGACACCACTGTAATGTTAATGAATAAAGAAATACCACAAAATAGTCATGGATACCTGTAGTGAGAATAATCATATATTGTACAGAAGAAACTTTTACAAAACAGTGTAAAAGGAGAAAAAGATGAATGTTATTTTAAGTAGTTTGCTTCTTAATAAGCAAGTAGAAAACAAAAAAAAAAGTCATTTGTTTTATAAGGCTTTAGCCTCATAGTAAGTAATTAAAATTCCTTAATTTAGTGTGATAACAGTGAGGAGTGTTATCTGATAAAATATTCTGTATTATTTATGTATGAAACATTTTAAACATAAAAGTATGTAACAGTCATTCAGGATGTACTGCCCCAAACATGGTTTTAAGGAAGTTACTCCAAGTGGGGGCATTATCCCAACTAGGAGATGCCTCAGCTAGAAGCTCTCTCAACATGTAAGTCTCCTGGCTGGTAAGCATGGAACCTAGGAAGGATGTAAATAAATAGAACTTGTATAGAATTAACAAGTTCTGGAGTGGCCTGGAATTATTGCAATAATGAGATACCCAGATGAGTTTGGAAATGCTTAGTACTGCTCATTTGCTTTCATTCTGATATGAACCCTTTCCTGAGATAATGTCAGCTGTGACGAGTCATAGAATCTGTTCTCTTTACCTGGCAGGTCAGTAAATCTTATAAGGCTCCTGGAGGAATCATTTGTCCAAATCAGGATCTGACAGATCTAAGGTATCTCCTAAGTATTTAATTTTCTTCTCCATGGTCTCTGTGAATGCACAGTAATGGTTATTGCATTGTGCATGTGCAAATCCTTGGAACGTTCTAGATCATAAAACAAAGAGATTGTTAGAGGCCCCACCCTCCCACATTACTTCTTGGCACCAATAACATTCCTTTTCTGCCGCTACTTTGGATGCATCAAAGGAACTTTCTGGAGCTTACTGCCTTGTGGTAGTCCTTTTTTCTTTGTCTATCTAATCATCAACAGATTTTCTTCATTTTCTGTGAGTTGCTTCTCCTACAGACAAAGTCCTTTTTAGTGGGTCTCTTGAGGTTTGTTCCCAAAACATCTACTTGTAGACCCTTCCCCTCTCCCCAACCCTTTATGGTCTCTAAAAGGCCGTTTCAAAAAGTGCCATGCCTGTGGCAACAGACTCCCTCTCTCAGATGGATATTCCCTCTGCCTGTTTTGCCTGGGAGAGGAGGATGAACCTCAGTCATTTCACCGCTGTAGGGGGTTCACTAAAGCCACCCTCTGTCATCGGTTGGACTGCCTTAAATTCACCTTTTGAAAGTCAAGCTGCTCCCCCCCATGGAGCTCCCGAGAGATTTGTCCTCATCCCCCAAGCCTGACAGGCACTGTGAGGCCAGGGAGCTTACACTTTTTCCTCCAAGACCCAGCTACTGGCCTCTAAGTCTTCAAGCTCGAAATATTTAAAACTGAAGGCTTTGGTTCCGAAGGACTCTGCTTTGAAACCCACATTTTTAAAGAAGAGGAAGAAGCTGGTGCGCAAAGCTGATGCTTCCCCAAGGATCACCAGGCCCCACAAACCAACCCAGCTGCCATCAGGCCTGGTTCACACCTCTCCTCCGGGTCTGCACCAACTACCTTTACCTACTGGCTCTTCTTCACCTGCTGTCCCAGGCCAGTGGTTGAATCCACCACTCCAAGCGCCACACTCCTGCCCTCATGGCCTGGAGGCTTTTCTCACACTAACTGAAATTCTTCAAAGTTTCTGCCACCCCTCTACCAGAAAGTGCTGCTCCTACAAGTGGCAGAAGTTCATCTTCTTCATGTCCTCAAGCGGCCCATCACCTCTCCAATCATCTTTTCCCCTGGTTTGTCAGTTTATGTTGTCCCTAAAACAGGGTGGTCTCTTCTTCTCCACCCTAAAAGTCTGTCAGCGATTATTGCCAACCAGCCTTAGGGTTCTGAGACATCCTTACTGATGCGGAACCTGACACTCAAAAGGTTT